CTTTTCGCTATCCCAAACCCGCACCAGAGAAACAGAACACGCACAGAGCGCTCGGGGAGAATATTCAAGAATTTGATTCTTGAGCTCTACTGATTCAAAAATCCCGTAAGTAACGCCTAATCCATCCATTCATCGTAGTTTATCGATTTAGAGCTTTAAAACTAGTTTTTGGATCAGGAATTTCTTGAGTTTCCGATCGAAGGAATTAGGGTTTCGGAGTATCCGGAACCCGGATTGCCCAAATTTCAAATACAAGCTTCCTGCAGCGAGGTAATTAATCCTCTGGTTCTAATCCATGAATTTCGTCTATTATTTAGGTCGGAGCCGGGATAGCTGAATTTAGCTCCGGCCAGGGTTTGATGTGTTTTTATCGAGAATTTGATCAGAAGCCTAGAACTAACATTGACGGGGATACTGCAGGGGATATTAGGACGGTCTCGGATTTTAATTCGGGGTTCGTTGGTGAAATTGACGTTTTAGTACCGGAAGCTTAAATCGATGTTTGAACGACCAGAACTGGTGAGGGATTAGCACGGCATACCGGGTTTGTCGTATCACGATAATTATATTGATGCTTAGAATTGACCTAGGTGAATTAGAATGTCATGATTAGGGGTGTAGGGACTTTTATGCTATATGATGAACCATGGATTGTTGTATGATATTATTGACTTGCCCTAGCTGAGATGGACCTTGTTTATGTTGATGATTGCATACATGTTGCCATTTGTGGCTTAACCGTTGATATGACTTCATGGTTGTTCGATCAGTTGTTTTGACATGATGTGATATTGTGGTTGTATTTGGATTCACAAGTGGGGGAAATAAACTTCCCAGGGTGATATTATGATGTTTAAGGAGGATGACTTGCACGAGGGTTTATCCCGAGGAAGTGCAATTATACGAATCCTGATTTGCCTATGTTGAGCCAATTATGGCCAGGTCAAGTACATGTGCAAGTAATGAATTATGATTAAGCAAGATGAGATATGAATAATGTATAAGGATACCAAATATGAGTGTTGTGGTCTCACGGTCAACTACATAGTAATTAGGGCTCCCTATGCTATTACTCTATTATGATATGTATGATAGTCACACCTCTCATGTGGTGGTGACTGAAGAATTCTTACGAGATATGACCACACCCAGAGCGGTGTCGGGGTATGACTACACCCATAGTGGTGTGGGGTATGTATGACCACATCCGACGGGATGTTGGGGTATGTATGACTACATCCGACGGGATGTGGGGTAGGTTTCCTGGGAGAGTTATTAGCATGGGAGTAGCCAGACGCCTATAAGTAAAACATGATAAGATGCATATGCATAAGTCAAGGTGGTTGAGTCTTTTGCCTATTGGGATGTCGGATACCTGAGGTCTAATCCTAGTGCTTTGGCTTGTTTGCTAGATGTATGGTAGGGGTATGCTCTGTTATAAACTCACGATGCTATGATTATCTCACTCAGCTATGAGCTGACCCTCTTTATCATTTTTCTCAGCTTATGCCATGTGTAAGCAGCTCATCATCATCAGCAGCAGCAGATAGGTGTATAGGTGGGAGCTGAGCAAGAGTTGAAAGCAAGATGAGGTATGGTCTTCAACTATTCTGTGCTTGGACTACTACTCGGGATTTTGGCTAGTGATCCACACCTTTTTGTAAAAATGTGTTGAGAACGTTTTTCATGTTCATACTAGCTTCTGATGTAGTGTGAGATATCCACAGGTGTGGAAAGTTGATGATATGTGTATATATTGTGTTACTGTGTAAGTAGTGATGATTATGACATGTATAAGTATGGTATGTAGTTGCAGAGTACGAAAGTGTGACTATAGCTATGAAAGCCAATGTACATGGTTGTGAGTATATATGTATGTCTATGAATGCAGGGATTCGGATGAATTATTTTGCAGGTCTAGTTGCAAGAACTGTTAGCCCATTACGCGAGTAATTCATGTCGAAATTTTATTTTGGTAAATTTTGATAATTAATGTAACACCCAAGATTATTTCCGCTGCAATTGTATCAACAATATGATTAGGTAATACGTACAGGGTAGGGTGTTATAAAGGGTTTGAATTGCGGGTACAAGTATAGAAAATTAAAAGTCAGAAGTTAGAACAGTTGCTAAAAGTATGCAAATTTTAGAAGAGTTATGTTGATAACATGGGTTAGACCCACTCCAATGCTAGTCCCAAAATTTGAGGATTATCCTTATTTTCATCATTTTTGTTCGAATGCTACTATCTCTAAATTGGGAACCTCCTTTTTTCCTAATTTTTTTTACTTAAAAGTGTACTTATGATCATGTTAATATAATTTATTCATGTTAATTTTTGTATAGTTTGTCATCATTTTTAAATACAAATTTTCTGAAAGAATTTTTAAATATCGAGACCGATTGTTTTTTTTTTTTGGCAAAACATGATTGAACTAATTTGGGTTTACACACAACACTTGAAAATGGTAAAGCTGAAAGAGTTCACATAATAGTTCAAATGATACAACTCAGAGATTACACAAAACACTTGATAATGATGAAGATAAAACACATAATATGTCAATAATCACCAGAAGTGAATAGTAATTCCCGTAATCTCCTCCATTTTCATCTCCTCCTCCACTTTCATCTCATCCTCCGGTGTCACTTGTGTTGGATGAATAGTTGAGAACAGAGTTGGGATCATACCCTAGAAGCATGTTTCGCTTATTTCTTCAATACTTTCTCTTTCTTGGTGTCAACTTCGACAAGTCCCTTTCAAGAAAATCAATGTTTTTTTTGAAGTAGTGCGGCTTCCCTCTCTCTTTTCTCAAGTTCCCACTTTTCTTCCCTCTCCCTTTTCTCAAGATCCCACTTTTTTACATCGCGCTTCAATTTTATTTCTTGGAATTCCATCCGTTTTCGCTCATACTTAGCCCTTGAAGCATGCCTCTCCTTCAACTCACTTCCATAGTCCAGCAATTGAGCAATGTAGCTCTCTAATGACTCAACAACCCCCTTTCCTTTCTTCTTTGCCGCCTTCTGTTTGTCGCGTCCAGCAGGGCGAGATATGAAGAAGGGTGGAGTTTCTCAGATGAAGGGTGGAGTTTCTTCGTCTCCTTTCATGTCATTGAGGTCTGTCAGTGGGGTTGATTGATAACCACGACCGATGGGAGAACCATCAGAACCTTGAATCATGCAGCTTTGCTGTGAAGACGACAATGTTATCAGGGTATGAAATTTTTGACATTTTTTTCAAGATCCGCAAACAATGACTAAGAGTCTCACCTTTTATACAGCTATTTTGCCATATACGCCTATACGTATTAATGAATGGGTTGGAAAAAGGAGTTAGAAAATAGAACACACATACTAATGAATGAGTTAGAAAATAACAGTGATGGTTGATTCCTCTCTCTCCTTTGGATAGCTGAATTCCAACACTTGCACAAATTTGGCGATGATGCTCATTCGATTAACCATGCTTTTGACAGTACAAGTTATGTTTGGATCGTTCACTAGAAATTGCGCCACCACTCTATCCCAAAACTTTGTTTGTCTTTGATTGATGCCCACAGCCCCATCTTTCAATATCATGGCCCAAAAATTGCACAAGTTCTAATCTTCCTCCGCTTTCCAACCCTCTCCTCTCCTGCTTGTCATTGTTTGGTTTTTAGAGAGAGAAAGACGATAGAAATGATGGTGAGATTGACATAAAATTTCACTTTATGTCAATCTCACATTGAAAGAAGATGGTCATATTTCAATCAAAATGCAGTACTTTCAAGACAAGCTAGGGGTAAGTTATTCACAGAAATGAGCCAGTGACCAAGTTAGATCAAGCATCAAAGCACGTAAAACAAAACACTACAAGGTAAGCATTTCAGGTAAGAAGAATGTCAATTACCTAGCCAATCCATAGTTGTAGTGGTGGAAACCTATTATAAGAAAGTTCCACATAATGACACTCTAATTATAGCATTTATAACTCCCATATTTGATCCATTTTCCTTCTATCAATGCATCTTTAGTAGTTAGAACGACTCAATCGAGATGGGCTGCAGATGAACAAAGTTGCTCACTAGTGGCTTAGTGCTCAACCGAAAAAACTTGCTCGAAACTCTATTTGTTTACTAATGAGCCGAGTTTGAGTCAAGCATTGTTTAGCTCATGAGCCATCTCATTTCGGTTGCTCGTTGAGCTCAAATGGTGAGCTGACTCATTTTGAGCTCATGAACTAGCTTGACAAAGTGGCTAGCAAGACAACCAACAAGGAGTGTATTAGCGAATTGATTTGTACCTTATGAGTTGTCTTATTGATAGTTCATAAATTTGTCAGATTGCATACTTCACAATATAGAATGATTAAAAAGTTTGAGTACGTGATCAAATATGTATCATTTATGATTGGAAAGGAAAATTATTTATTATTGATTGTTTAGCTACTAATTACTGTTAAATAACACCATATGAACTAAATATGATGCCAACATAGTATATAATCATGAGATCAATTAGTCATGAAAAAGTTTTAAGATATCCAATTAACAAATTACTTTAGAGGTTCAATCATTTAGAATCATAAATGAGGTGAGCTCGATCCATACCCGAGTTGATCAACCTCGTAAGCTCATTAATGAGACAAGTTCAAGTTGACTCGAACCAAAATTGAGTCAACTTTGGTTCGTTTGCCACCCAAGGCCTTGGTGACAAATGGGCACATATATTTTAATGAACAAAATGGCCCACATTAAAGCATGTTGAAATTATAGAAAACCCTCGGGAGAACCAATAAGAAGCGGGAGAAACAACAAGTGATATTTGAAAACCATCCAACTCACCAACTGCTGAAGCGCAATTCTCAAGTCAACTCAAAAGTCAAAGTCAAACCTGCACCATTTTCCCCCTCCTTCAGATGGCTCGATGAACCGTACGCCTGTGATAACTCTTCGATTGCAAGGCCTCTGCTACCCAATAGCATCTGTAAAATATCAATCAATCTCTCTCTGGTTTAAAAATTGGAGATTTACTGGTTCTTGTGTTGGTCCTGTTGTTTGGCGCTGCTCCTTCCCTCCTTTATCCTCTGCTTCAGTTTCCTGCTTCGCAAAGCCTTCTCCCAAAGCATCGCCGTTTCCTCTCCCTCATCGGAACTCGTGAATTCTCCTCCTTCCCCTTCCGATGATTCTTCTTCTCCTCCTCCTCATCCTTCGCCGCTGCCTCTTCCAAGCGGAGAATACGAGGTTTTCCTCAGCTTCCGAGGTCCGGACACTCGCAACAACATAGCCGATTTCCTCTACGTCTACCTGATGCGGTCTAAAATTCGCACTTTCAGGGACGACGAAGAGCTGCGCAAGGGAGAGGAGATCGCTCCTGGGCTCCTCCAGGCTATCGTTGAGTCCAAGATTTATATCCCGATTCTGTCCAAAACCTATGCTTCCAGCAAATGGTGTTTGAAAGAGCTCGCCCAAATGGTGGAGTGCCGAAGGCAAGATCAAGGGCATGTCATTTTCCCGATTTTCTACCTTGTGGATCCCGGGGACGTGCGACATCAAAGGGGGGATTACGAGGAGGCGTTTCTACTCCACGAGGGGAAATTTGATGAGAAGACTGTACAAGATTGGAGGGATGCTCTCGAAGAGGTTGGGAAAATGAAAGGTTGGCATGTCACCGATTTGAATGGGTAAACTCACTTCCTTAGACCTCCATTCCTTGGTCCCTTGTATTATGTTGAAGCTTTCTCTATATAGTTTCTTCAAATTTCTTGAACTGTGGTGGGTAGCAGCCTAGCAGGATTCATGTCCTACCCGTTGATATAGTTTTTAAGCTCACCATAATGTCTAGATTATTTTACCAAAACAATGAATTTTTCAGGCAAGGAAGTGTAGTGGACCAAGTTTTTGAAAAGGTGCTGGCACTCCTGAGCAAGAATTACTCGTTGGTGAGTGATGAGTTGGTTGGAATTGATCATCATGTGGAAAAGGTTAGGGAGCTACTGGATGAGGATTCTGGGGGTGTCAAAGTTGTTGGGATTCATGGTATGGGTGGTATTGGCAAGACCACTATTGCCACTGCTGTCTACAATACAATCAGTGCGCAGTTCAACCGCTGCAGCTTTCTGGAAGATTTGCGAGAAACATTACTGCAACATGAGGGTATCGTGACTTTGCAAAACAAGTTAATCTCTAGCATTACAAGAGATGGCCCTCCAGTGAGAGATGCTAGTGAAGGAATTCGGGTGATAAAGGATAGAGTTTGTCATCACAAAGTGCTCATCGTGCTAGATGATGTGGGTGATAAGTTTGAAGTTGGAAAGATCTTGGGGGGATACAATATGTTTTTCCCTGGCAGTAGGTTTATCATCACAACAAGGAATAAGAAAGTCTTGACTTCGACAAAGGAATGTGAGCTATATGAACCTGAGGAAATGAGTGATGACCATTCGCTTCAGCTCTTCAGCAAACATGCATTTGGAATGGATTCTCCTCCAAAAGATTATGCAAGTTTGTCTGCACAGGTTGTCTCAGTTGCAGCAGGACTTCCCTTGACACTTAAAGTTGTGGGGTCGCTTTTGTATGGCGAAGATAGCCTGGTCTGGGAGGACACATTGATGCAACTAAAAGAGATCCCTCCCACTGAGGTCTTGGGAAAGTTGAAAATAAGTTACAATGCATTGACATATGAGGAGCAACAGATCTTTCTTGATATTGCTTGTTTCTTCAACGGAGAGAACAGAGAAATGGCATCTTATATGTGGAATGATTGTAGATTATACCCAGTCAGTGGGATTAATGTCCTTATGCTTAGGTCCATGATAAAAATTGGAATGAATAATGAGTTTAAGATGCACGATCAACTTAGAGATCTAGGCAGAGCAATTGTTCGTGAAGAAAATGTTGAGCATATTTGGAAACGCAGTAGGGTATGGTTTAATGAGGATGCCTTGGACATGTTAGACATCAAGAAGGTATGATACACATGAGCATAACGACCTAGAAAGCCTATGTTTATTTGTTTAGGTACGATACAAACGCTCCGAACATTACGATTAAGAACTTCAACAAGAAGGTATGGTACACATGCAAGTAAAGACCTAGAAATCCGTAGTTCTTCTTCTTAAGTTCTTAATAGGAATGTTCAGAGCGTTACAGGAAAGTGGTTGGTTCTTGAATGTTAATTTTAATGCTGGTTTATGATGACACTGGTATTGTACAGTAATTTCTTTTTCTTTGTTCTTTTTTACAGGGATCAGAGCAGGTCAAAGCCCTTAAAGTGAACTTATTTAACAAATTTTCACTTACGGATCAACATTTTAGGAAATTGTTAGAGTTGAGATATCTTGAATGTCACCATGCCGACTTTGCCGGGGATTTTGATGAACTTCTTTCAGATTTAAGATGGTTACGATTAAGTCGCCTTCAAGGAAATTCAGCCCCAACTAACTTTTACCTGAAGAAGTTGGTAATTCTTGATATACATGACAACCATATAGGAGATGAATGGCAAGGCTGGGACCAACTCAAGGTTTTCCCTTGAACATTTCTCTTTATTACATATATGCTTATCACACAGGTTCCTCGTATTCGTGAGAAACTAATTTCTGTCTTGTTTCACAGATGGCAATAAAGCTGAAAGTTCTAAACCTTGTTACCTGCTACAGCTTAACCAAAGTTCCTGATCTTTCTCCACTCGGAAGTTTGGAGATATTAAATCTTCATGGATGCCGTGACATGGTTCAAGAACTCGAGATCAGCAACTTGAAGAATCTAAAGAAGCTAAAGCTCAGCTACTGTGGAATAACGAAGATAACTGGACGCATTGGAATGCTTCAAAAGCTTGAGGAGCTAGATGCCTGGGAATGCAAGAACTTGGAACAAGTTCCTGATGACATTGGGAGCTTACCATCTCTTAAAACCTTCAAAATCACTTCTCGGAAAGACTTCCCAGTGCCGTACCTTCCTACTGATATAAAGGAGCTAATAGTCTCATCTCTGGTTCCCAATCTCTCTAACCTGATACACTTGGAAGAGTTGGGGTTCTATACTTATCATGGTGTCGACAGTCCTCAAGATTTATGGAGATTATCCAAGTTGAAGACTTTGGAACTCTGTGAGACTAATATCAGAAGTCTGCCGATTGCCCTTCCACCATCTCTGAACAAGCTTTCACTTCGTCATTGTCAGTCGTTAGAGGCGTTGCCAGACCTCACCCTCTTGAAGAACCTGACAGAATTAACTCTGCTGTGCTGTCCCGATGTCTGCGAGATTCAAGGACTCGGGGAGCTCAAATCATTGGTACATTTGGAAGTAACAGATGGGGAAAGCTTAAATCATCTGGAAGGTCTTCAAGGTCTCATACTTTTGACAGTCTTGGAAGTGATACTGTGTCCATTACTGAAAAAACTGCCCAGTCTAGCTGCTTTAAATAAGGTACAAACACTGACCATCTCCCAATGTTCCAGCCTCACTGAAATCCAAGGCCTTGGTGAAATGGAGTCATTAAAGCATCTAGAGATCGAAGACTGTGGATCCCTGCAAAGTTTACCTGACCTTTCAACACTGTCAAAGCTGAGAGATTTGACTCTTAACGAGTGCAAGAGCTTGCAGAGTATTGAGGGAATTGGATCCTTGGAAGCACTGGAACGGTTGACTTTGAACGAGTGCCATTCAATAAAAAGGTTTCCTTCTCTATCAAAGCTGACTAAACTGAAGCAGTTAACTGGGAAGAAGAATCTCGGTTTGCTGGAGATTCAGAGTCTCCAAGGCTTGCACTTGCTCGAGGCTCTGGAGCTTCCCAGTTGTGGTTCCCTGGAAAGATTACCAGACATGTCTAGTCTGAAGAGCCTGAAAAAATTAGATCTTGATGGCTGCCGGAGTTTGGTTGAGGTTACTGGAGTTGAAGGACTCGAGTCGTTGGAGTCATTGTCGATGAACAGTTGCTGGTCGATTGAAAAGCTACCAAACATTTGGACTCTGAAAAGCTTGTCGCTTCTAGCCCTAAGAGATTGCTGGGAATTGAAAGATCTACCAGGAGTGGAAGGACTGGAGTCATTAAAAGTGCTGGATATCCATGGCTGCAAGTCTATCGAGAGTTTGCGAAACGTTTCACATCTCAGACAATTGGAGAAACTGTCACTCAGCGGTTGTGAAAGTCTAAGCGAGCTCTCGGGACTTATAGGGCTCCATTCTTTGAAAGAGCTGAATCTTGAGAGCTGCACATCGCTTGGAGAGTTACCAAGTCTTGCCCAACTCCGGTGTCTGGAGAAACTATTTCTAGACGATTGTGTAAACTTAACTGAAGTTTTGGGACTCGGAAGACTGGAGTCGCTGCAAATGTTGACAATGTGTGGATGCATATCCATCGAGAGGCTGGAAAACATTTCGAAGCTGAAACATCTAAGTCTTTTGCATATAATTGGCTGCGAGAAACTGAAAGAGCTACCAGGGCTTGAAGGTCTAGAGTCACTTGATGAGCTGAAAATGAATGGCTGCAAGTCGATCGAGAAGTTGCCAAGTCTTTCAAATCTCCGGCAGTTAGAGAGGCTAACTGCAAGGGGCTGTGAGAGCTTAAGCGAGCTTCAGGGAGTTGAACAACTTAAGTGTTTAAAAATGCTGGACATGGGCGGGTGCAAGTCTATTGAGAAGTTGCCGGTCCTTTCTAGTCTCAGGAGTTTGCTGTGGCTCTCTGTGAAGGATTGTGAGAAGTTGGTGGAGATAAAGGGAATCGACGAATTGAAATCGCTAACTTACTTGGACGTCTCTGGGTGCAATTTGATCAAGGACATACCAGAGCTACTGCACACAAAAGTCAACAGATAAAGCATGAGCTTCACATGGTAACATATCAAGCAGTTCTGTTTTTGTGTTCCATGTTTTGTTCCCTACAGAAAGAAAGATGGTTCATTTGATAGCTTGGTGATCACGGAACGCCAAGGGAGCTCGAATCTCTCGATTTTTTCATCTGGTGAAGCAGCGATATAGACAATACCATATCTATTGGCGTTACTTTTGCCATTTGGACATGTTTCATTAACCATTGACAATGACTAAAGTAAAGCAGCACTGCAGCAGAAGGTGAAACAGATCTATGAAGGAGAGGAAGAATGTTCTGTTATGATTTTTTGCTTTGGATGGATCTTAGATGATGGAGCATTTGCTTGGTGGCCTTTTATTTGTTATATTTGTTTTTTGATGCGTCTTTCCTCTAGTGTTTTAGACTCTAAATTTGTAAATTTATAATACTGTTTCACCATTATAAAAATAGAAAATTACATAGATGGTCCGAAATTTATTGAACGAGGTACTGGCTAAAAGCAGAAATCAGTGGATATGACTACGGGCGAGAAAGTTGTGCATAGTGCTTACATGCTCATATGCATTTAGAGTCGTTGGATCGGGCATGGATAGGAATGGCAATGGGCAGGTCCAGGGCGGGTATCTCGATACCCATATCCGCCCCATAGCAGGTGGGGTTTAGGTCGGTTAATTTATTACGGGACGTGGGTCGGGGCAGGTCGACCCAATGGGTATGTAATATATGTGAGAATATTAGAAATATTCGTTATTTTCATTAAAAGACTAAGAAAGAAACCATAATATGATAAAGGGCTAATACCACTGGGAAACTCGAACTATTAACTTTGTGTTATTTGTGTCTTAAAGTATCCGATATGGCATTTGTGTCACAACGTATGATAGTTGTGTGTCATTTATGTCCTGACGATTTCGTTAACCGTTATAGATAACGGTTGACCAAACAGAAGTCAACATTAACATTGACTTTTGTTGACGTGGCAGCCACGTAGATGCCACGTCAATGACACCTCATATTTTTAATTAAAAGTTAAATAAAAAATAATATATTGTTATAAAAAATGAAAAAGAAACCCTCATAAGCTTTCCTCTTCTTCTAATCACATTCCGTCGAGGAAAAAGGGAGCGGCGGCGACATTCTCGTCTTCCTCTCCACCACTCTCACCGGCTTGAAAGTTCGAAGCGGGGGCTAGTCGTAATGGAAAGACGAAGTGGCGACGGCGAGACGAGTCGGCAGCGACTGTACTTCTTCCCAGCACCTCGGTAAATCCCAATTGCAAACCCCCCAATCCTTCCAATACCACGACTCCACCGCCGCCCTCGCCTCCTCATTCCCTTCCATACAAGTCGCCAGGCTTTCGCCAAAATCGGTGAGATGGGAGGCATTGATTCCTTCGTCATTCATCTGCATCTTCTTCTCCGGGAACCCAAAACCCTTTCATCTGGGGTGCTCCGACGCAACACAACCACCTGCTTCTCCCCTATTACAAATTAGGTTTTGAAGTGAATTAGGGATTTTAAACAAATTGCAGGGCAGAACATCCAGAAGATGGTGAAGGATAGTTACAACAAAGGATTGGCGGGACTGGTTACGGGTGTGGGTGCGAAGGAAGAAGTCGAAGGAGGAGTAGAGGGCGATGACAATGATTCACAGGGGATGGTTTTGACAATGGCTGCTGGATTTGGTTGTATATTACCCAGAGGACGGAGGTGGAGGCTGCCGAGAGTGGTCGAGCGGCGGAGGTGGCGAAGTTCAGTGCAGCGGAGGCGAAGTGCAACGGTAGCGCGCGGTGGTGGAGGCGAAGTGCGGTGCAGCGGTGGAGGCGAGCTGCAATTCCGTCAATTGATTGAAGACTTTTAATTTTTAATTTTTCTTATTTAAAAATTTTATTAGATGCAAAAGTAACTAAAAATTAATATTAAAATTCCATGTCAAATGCCACATCAACGTTGACTGGACTTTCTGTTAAAAACTAGCGGTCAATGCCAGTCAACTCTAACGGAAAAATAGTTTAGGACACAAATGTCATGTCGGATACTTTAGGACACAAATGACACAAAGTTAATAGTTCGAGTTTCCTAGTGGTATTAGCCCTATGATAAAATCTAGTTAAATTAGGTATCTTTTCTCTCGTTTGGCGAGAGTGATATAGCGGCGGAAACCCTAGGGTTTTCGGATCTCTGAGACGGCAGAGGCAACCTCGGATTATCGAGCTCTAGAAGGAGCAAAGGGTTACTTTTTGACAAGGAAAAGGATTTGTAGGGGAAACTCCCCAGTAGGAGAAGGACTCCAACGAGAAGTCTATAAAAACAAGATACACGAGAACTTGCATAATACGGTAGAGGCGCTCAATATCTGACGCTGAAGCTGAGTTTGTGCTGAGACGCTACCAAAGGAGAGGCATCCACGTATGGAGAAGAACGAGGCGCTGGGTGGCCAGCTGGGAACAGAAGGAGACGCAGGGGTAGCACCAATCCAAACCCTAGGATTGGTAGATTGTCTGGACAAGATAACTTTGGAGGAAGACGACGAGATCCCGCTAGAAGTTGAAGACACAGACGTTGATGTGGTAAGGATGGAGGCGGTCCGAAAACTTGGTTTAATTGGTCGGCTGGTAGCTGAAAAGCAACCCAATCTGAAGTCAATGAAAATTGCCCTAGAAAAGGCGTGGAACCTACGCAAAGGATTCCAAATAACAGACTTAAAAGATAAGATGTTTGCATTCCAGTTCCTGGAGGAAGATGACAAGAACAAGGTCAGCTTTGGAGGTCCATGGCATTATGAAAATAATGTCATAGTTTTCAAGGAGTGTTTTCAAATACAAAAACCAAACCCTTTGGACTTACACATGATCGATATATGGGTGCAAATCCGTGAGTTCCCAGCAGAGCTGAGAACTACACAAATGGCAGGGAAAATAGCAGCACGCTTTGGGGAGTTGGTCTGGTTCGACGATACAGGTTACCTATGGGAGGAACATATGAGAATCAGAGTCAGTTTATCCATCAATAATACTCTAAAAAGAAAGATCAAACTCCACTTAAAGGGGAAATTGGAGGAGTATCAAGTGAAATATGAGAAGCTGCCACTATTTTGCTACTCGTGTGGTAGGATTGGCCATCCAAGCTGAGATGTCCGAAACCATCGCAATTATCTAATGATCCATTTGGAATGGAGATAAGAACGGATGGTCCTGGGCATAGAAGCTGGATTTCAAGGGCTGCAAGGAGGGAAGATGCAGAGGTTTGGGAGACACTCAAAAGGAAATTTACAATGGATAAAACTGATTCCAATTCGAATTATGATAAAGCTATCTCTCAGGAAAAAGAGGTTGCAGAACCATAGAAGAAGGAGAAGGAGATAGGGGAGGGTGGAGGGAAGCAGGGGAGTGAGGAAGAAGGGCGGAGCATGGAAGTGGAGCAGCCTGTCATGAAACAACAAAAGATACAGGAAAAGAGACATGACAGTGAGGCAATCAAACCGGAGGGGCAGCTCCAAATGGGAGCACTTCAAAGGTTTGCAATGGGAAGTATGGCTGCCCAGCATGGGATGAGGCCAACAGGAAGGGTTTGGAGGAGGCATGAGCAAAGCACACAAAGACAGAAGATAGGAGCACAGGTTATGCCTCAGAAAAGAGCAGTTGAGGCTGTTTGGAAAGTGGTGGCTAAGGATCACAAGGAAGAAACTACCTTGAAGAAGGCAAGGACGCTTACCTTCCCAACTCTCCCAAATACTCATGAGGAAGTAAACCAGGTTCAAAAGGGGGAGAAAGGAAATCAACAGGAAGTACAAGTTGGAAGAGAGGATGTGGAAAATCAGGTGACAAAAACACTGGATGGCGGAAAGGCGGACCCTGACAAGGATCAGGGCCGCCAAGCCCAATGAATCTCATGAGCTACAACTGTCGGGGACTGGGGAATGCCCTGGCAGTTGGAAAAGTGAAGGCGTTGCTGCGTCAAAAGAACCCCGTTGTAGTTTTTCTCATGGAAAAACATTTGTATGATGGAGAATGGGAAGGAAAGATTAAAGAGTTCGGGTACGAGGAAGGAAAGGGGGTGGTTGCAGGTAGAAACAGATCAAGAGGATTACTTATGATGTGGAGAGAGGGCATAGAGATGACTCTGAAAGGGAGTGACAATCACTATATGGATTTTGAAGTAAAAATGGAGGGAGGGAGGGACTCCTGGAGGCTCACGGGAGTGTATGGGTGGCCTGAAAGTAGTAACAAGTACAAGACCTGTGAGATGCTAAGATGGTTACATAACATGGTGGACAAACCGTGGTGTGTGATGGGGGATTTCAATCTCATCACTGACTATATTGAGAAGAGCGGGAGTTGTAATCCAAGTGTGCGAGAAATAGAGGAATTCCGGGCCGCTCTAGAAGATTGTGAGCTGGAGGACCTGGGATTCTATGGAAGTTGCTTCACCTGGGAGAACAACAGAGAAGGGGAGGCGTACACTGAGGAAAGGCTAGATAGGGTGGTTAGTAATCGAGCTTGGAAGGCAGAATACCCACTAGCCAGAGTATATCACCTTCCAAGATGTGGCTCAGATCATATACCACTTCAACTGATGTTAACGTTGGAAGAAGAAGAAGTACAGCGAGGATGGTCGTTTAGATTTGAACCATACTAGAAAAGACATGAAGCATGCAAAGAAGTGATAGAAAGGGGATGGAGAGCAGGGGATCAGGAGAGCCTCTTGGAGAAAATTAAAAACTGTGAGACAGAGCTCCTAAAGTGGATTAAAGAGGCTTTCGGGTCTTTGAAAGAGAGGCGTAGGAAAGTGAAGAGGGTTTTGGCAAGACTTGAAAGACAACCAAGAACCAATGCTGTGCAAGTTCAACGAAGAATGATGCAGCGGGAATTGGATGAAATATTGATGCAAGAAGAGAGCAAGTGGAGACGGAGGTCAAGGACTGATTGGCTAAAGGAAGGGGATCAAAATACGGGGTACTTCCATCGTAAAGCCTCTGAACGAAGAAAGAGGAACACAATTAAACATCTAAGGGATGCAACCGGGAAGCTTCATGTGGGGCAGGAAGAAGTGACTAAGTGCCTGGTCGAGCATTACAAGGAGCTATTCACACCGGAGGAAGATATACAGATAAGCTCCATCCTATCCGCGGTTCAACCGAAGGTTAATGATGAAATGAACAATCTACTGTTACAACCTTTCACAGCAGAGGAAATCTGGAATGCATTCAAACATATGGGATCATCAAAAGCCCCAGGAGCATATGGGATGTCAGTTTTGTTTTTCAAAAAGAACTGGGAGATTGTGGGCTCGGATGTGACGAGGGAGTTAACAGAGTACCTAAAAGGGGATCGTTTCCAAGGGAGCTGAACCATACTCTGATAGCTCTAATTCCCAAAACAAAGAAGCCAGAAACGCATATGGAATATCGTCCAATTAGCCTATGCAAGGTCCTATAC